CCTATCTGTCTGCCTGTCATGCTCATCCTCTGGCTTCAATAATGAGCCGCTGACCCCCGAAGTCTTGTTATTGATTTAATACATTGTTAGCATCCAGCAATGCGATAATGATGATGGCGATCTGTGTATCGGGTTGGCAGCTTCCTGAGGGATTTCCGCTGTCACCTTGATTTCCGATGAGGATGAGCTCTGCTCCCTTCATCAGTGCTGGGTGGAACAATGTATGCCGATTCCAAGCTCCATAAATAATTGTGTTCTGATATTGGTTGGATCAGCACAGCATTGGTCGGCAGCAGACATGGGCAATGTTTTACAACATGGGGCGGTCTCATGAGACTCGATGCTGTTTATGTGAATATCTGCGGAAGGGAAGCTCTATACAGTCCTTTACAAAGTAATGAGAGGCTGACAGCACCCGCAGCTCTTCACAGCCATTGGCATGTATTTGGACCTGCAGAGATTGCCCCTGAGCGCAAACCTTTTGCACTCGGGGGCAATCGTACGCAGGTAATCGCTGCATGTCCAAGTACATGCGATTAGCTGCAGGCGCTGTCAGCCTTATTGCTTGGTATAGGGCTTCCGGCCCGCAGCTGTTCCCGCAGCTGAGTCTTGCTGCCCAACATGCAAGTGTGAATGGGGCCTTAGCCCCCAAAACGCATTGGCGTCTGCAAAAAGTTTGTCTTTCGAATAATCTTTTATCTGGACTCGCATATTACGGTGCTTCAATTCCGGACATATTCAGTTATTTTTCCACTTCCTGTTACAATGTGACAGAGCGGCTCATTCTTCAGTGATGGAAAAATGTTTTAAACATATATGAATAAAAAGCCGACCGTGGTGAGCACTACCCCCCCGGCGGGTTTATATGGTTTATCCCAAACCCCTCTATGTGTCACGTTTGCTGGACAGCTTGACTTGTTAAAGGAAGTGGAAAATTACCGGATCCACAAATCCAACCAGCGAGGAAGAGGAGGAGCTCCGACCTCTGACGGAGAAAGTCACCATCTACGCTCTGCACTTGTGTGAGTGTCTCTTCGATCCATACCAGACGTGGCGGAGACAGCTCGGGGGGTACGTAGCCAAAAGGAATATATTTTATATATAAGTTCTATATTACTTTATAACACAGCCAAAGTAGAGTCCCAGATGCATCTGATCTAGGGTCCCTAAAACACCCAACCTAAAGTTCTGAATGTCTGATTTGGATTCGCTAAACCATCGATCCTTACTAAACATGGCAGAGACGACGGGGGGGTCGGGGGCTCTGGGGGGATATTGGAATATATATTTATGTGCCTATTAAAAAGCATACAGTGCCTAAACATCTGAACTAGAGTCCCTAAAACACACAAACTGATCTAGAGTCCCTAATATATCTGACCTGTGGTCCCCAAAACATCTCATCTCATCTGTTCCCTAAACAGTGAGATATATACTGTAGTTCCTGTAACATCCGATCTGTAGTCCCCAACATCTCTGCCCTTGAGTCCCCAAACCATCTGATCTGACAGTGCCTGAAGAATCGGATCTACAGTCCCTAAAACCTCAAATCTGGGTCCCTTAAAAACCTAATTCATTGTCCCTAAAACATCCGATCCGATTTAGGGCAATCCCCTAAAATATTTCATCTGCCGTCCCTGAAATACCTGATTTATAGTCTCTAGTAATAGAAGTTCCTTCACTCATGTGGTGATGGTGGTGGTGGTGATTGATGATGGTGGTGGTTGATGACGATGATGGTGAGGATGGTGGTGGTGGTGGTTGATGATGGTGAGGATGACGATTGTGGTGGTTGATGACGATGATGGTGGTGGTGGTTGATGATGGAGGTGGTGATGGTGAGGACGACGACGACGGTGGGTGGTGGTTAATGACAATGATGGTGAGGATGGTGGTGGTGGTGGTTGATGATGGTGAGGACGACGACGACGGTGGTGGTGGTTGATGACGACGGCGGCGGTGGGTGGTG